GTGGGCGCCCGGGCGGCTTCGGGGGGGGGGGGGGCTATCCCGCCACAGTCAGGTCTTTATGAAGATGTGCCGAAGAGGATGTTGCACATGTATGGCACTCCCGTGTATGGCTCACACGAAGGAGGTCCATAGGTCCTCAGGTATGCTACCTGGGTATGCTCAAAGAGGGCTGAGCGGGAGATCAGACCCTTCCCACACTGCAAGTTAGCTGCATCACAGCAAGAAGGTTTCCTAGTCCCTCTTCCCAACAGGCTGAGCTCTCCTGGGTGCAGTGTACCTCTGTAGTGTTCCCTACTGAGCCCTGTGGCTGAGCATCACTACTTGCCCTGATGGTACATGGCAGACCACTCACAAATTTTAAAGAGCTTTCACCAGTAGGGTAAACAGTGTCTTGTTGTTCTAACAGGCAGCTAGAATGATTGACAGAGACTCTTATTATTTTTTCGTTAATTGTTTATGCTTCTTTTCAGCTTAAGGTGATTTAGGTCTACAGCTTTATAACTCCATTGACATCTGGCTTTAAAGAACTAGCACAAAGTAAAAACAACACAAGTTTGCTTCAAATCTGTGGCTCAGAAACAGAAAGCTTATTGTACAATCAAAGTTTTAAAAAAAGAAAGAAAAACTGAAATTTCAGCTGTAAATGGTTGCCGTCTCAATATGAGATGCCAATGATAAAAGTCTGCTGCTGGCAGCCAGTATAGTATATGCTCTTAAAAATGTGATTTTCAAATCCTTTGAGCCAGGATGACAAAATAAAAGGGGTGGAGGAAAGGTATTTGAATACAGGAAAAAAAGATTTTAAGCCTATTTACACTCCTCATTACCCTAGATATCTCTTTATTTCTACTTCCTTCAGATAGAGAGCATCAAGCTGACATTCTTCTAATTTATTTGATCTTTTTAGTAAGAGCTAATCACCCTTGCCAAAGTCTTTTGGACCAAAGTGTTTGTGTGAACATACATGCTAAAGGAATGAAAAGGGAGCAAGACAAACCTGAAAAACCTCCAGTTCTTCTAAAATCAGTTCTCCATTTGCAGAAGAGTTTGTGGGTAGAACAACAACTTTCTGTACAGTCCCCTGATCTAGAACATAAAAGCAGAGAAGAGATGAATTATTACCAACAAGTAGAGGAAAAAGCATAATGGAGAGAAGGGTGGAAATGATTTTCATACAGTCATAGATTTATAGACCTGATGGGACCATTAGATAATCTAAGTCTGATACCCCTGCAACACAGACCACAGAACTTCATCCAGTTACTCTTGTAATGAGCCCAATAACTTTGTGTGTTTGCTTTCTAAACTATGTGTAATAACTCCTTATAATATGATTTAGGCAATAGGGGTGTAAAGGATCAGACTTTGCTCACTCGTTTTCTGATCTACATAATACTGGATCAAGGGTCCATCTAGCCCAGTATCATGTCTTCTGATAATGGCCAATGCCAGGTACTCTAGAGGGAATGAACAGAACAGATCACTATCAAGTGATTGATCCCCTATCACCTATTCCCAGCTTTTGGCAATCAGAGGGTAGGGACACCATCCCTGCCCATTCTCGCTCGTAGCCATTAAAGGACCAATTCTCCATTAAATTATCTAGTTCTTTTTAAAATCCTGTTATAGTCTTGGCCTTCACAACATCCTCTGGCAAGGAGTTCCACAGGCTAATTGTGCCTTGTGTGAAAAAATACTTCCTATTATTTGTTTTAAACCTACTGCTTATTATTTTCATTTGGTGACCCATATTTCCTGTATATAACATTTCCTTAGTTACTTTCTCCCACACCAATCAAGATTTTATGGACCTCTATCATATCCCCCATTGGCCATCTCTTTCCCCAGCTGAAAAGTCCAAGTTTTATTAATCTTTCTTCATATGGCAGCCATACCATGCTCCTAATCATTGTGGTGCCCTTTTCTGAACCTTTTCCAATTCCAATATATCTTTTTGAAGATAGGTCAATCACATCTGTATTCAGTATTCAAGATGTGGGCACAACATGAATTTATATAGAACATTGGGTTCTCAATGTTTTTGGCCCATGGTCCACTGCACTCAATGTAAATCTTTCCATGGTTCACCAGCCAACCTCCAGCCAACAAAATAGGTGCAGGTGGGGGAAGGGATGCAAGGTCTGGGTGGGAGGGAGGATGCAGGAGCAGGATGGGAGTGTAGGGTCTCAGTGGGAGGGTGTGTGTGTGAGGGCAATGGAGGTGCATCGCCCCTTGCTGCTCCCATTGGCTGTGATTCTCATCAATGGAAGCAGCAGGGAAGCTTCCAGGTGAGCAGTTTCCTGCACTGCTGTTCCCCCAGCCAGGGGAAGGAAGAGCAGCAGCACACGAGGTCATTTCCTCACAAGCCAGATGTGGCCCACATGGCTGAGGGGGTCTCCCCGCTCGCAGCAGGAAGCCAGTGCTGGTGCTCTAATCTTGCAGTGGTGGGGGAGACCAAGGGGCTGGACTTTATTAACCCAATTTTGTGAGATTCTTTTGGAAGGTCTTTGCAGTCTGTCAGGGACTTACCTATCTTGACCAGTTTTGTAACATCTGCAAATTTTGCCACTTCACTGTTTGCCCCATTCTCCAGATGATTTGTGGATGTGTTGAATAGGACTAGTTCCAGTACAGAGCCTAAGGGCACACCACTATTTACCTCTCTCCATTCTGAAAACTGACCATTTATTTCTACCCATTGTTTTCTATCTCTTTACAGTTACCAATCAATGAGAGGACTTTTCCTCTTATCTAGGGTTACCAGATGGTTTTAAAAAAATACCGGACAAACTTAATCTCAGATGGGGGGGGGGTGCAGGCATTTGGGTTGTGACATAGGGCAGGAGGTTACGACCTAGGGCAGGGGACTGGGGTGGCAGGGTCTGGGAGGCAGTATAAATTGGGGGGGGGG